AACGTGTACAACCATTGGAGATGTGAGTGTGGCAGGATGAATGTTATTCCTCGGTTCAACCCACTTTCAGCCTGGTGCATTAGGGGGCGCTAGTATAAATAGTGGCCATTTGTGTTACGGCCCGGGGCCTTGGAGGGAGTGAGACTGCCTTTTTGTTTATGCAAATCCAAGTGTGCTAGGACTCGTGGAGGATTGGCTGCTGGGAGTCCTGTGCCAGCCTTCTTTTATGCAGATCTCAATGTGCCAAGAAGGTGACAATTCACAGAGGAGTGTTTAAAATCATTCATAGCAAATTTTTAGCACTTTATATTATATTAATTGCCCAGATTAATAAACACAGTATTTGTAGTTTTGAGCTTTCTTTGATAAATTATGCTTAAGTTTTCCAACCTGGTTGATTCGAATAAGGAAGGAGTCTATGTAGTCTCGTGGGGAGCTGGGGTCCAATGTGTCTTTGTGTTCTTGGATCTTCATCTTGATAAACTTTCTCACCTCTTCATACTCTGCAAAAACTTTTTGATGGGGGCCAGGAAGATGGTCCATGAGTTTCGGAAAGAGGTTGTACATCTGTTGTAAAGAAGCATAGCAACATACATTCTTGTGAAGAGACAATGATACATCTACTGTGTTTGGATCATTTTTACAGTATGATTTTCAAAAGACGTATATACTCTTACACAAAATATGAAAACCAAATTAAAAAGCATTTCTATTTAATTTTTAATTTACCTGACCCACAGAGCTGCTGTTAGCCTTTTCTATTTGAAAAAATATGTTAAGAAGGCGTAAGAACTGCTTGTCTTCATAGCTGAACCGTTGACCAAAAACCAGGCAGCAGATCACGTTAGACACAGTACAGCTCAATAAGAATGTGGGGTCAAATGGTGCACCTGCAAGAGAAGAGGAATCATCTGTCTAATTAACTAAAGACTTCAGTTTAGTAATGACATGCCCACACTTCCAACTTTACCACTGTTTAGTCCGTTTTTTAAAAAGATTTGAATAGTATGTTTGTTGGCACATGGCTTTCCCAAATAACAGTTTTTATGCATTTGAATGTGATTTCTGAGATCAGTTATTGTGCATCCTGTTGTGTTAACAACCTGAAGCTCACAAAAACACTGTTTTAGTAGATCATATTGGGTTTTTTGGGTGGCTGTGGTGGGTGTCAATTCAGTACTGGAAAATAATAGGTTAGTGGCATTAGCCCACTGTGGTATGCTTCTATCTTGCTAAAC